GTGATTGTAACCTGTTCAGCACTTCGCGATCGTCGTTGCACGAACTATGTATCAAGCCCGCTTTTGGGAATTCGGATACTGGAGCGAGATAAAAATAACAGCAGTAGTATTCACCATTCGACTTATTCACCAATACGTAACTGCAACTTCACATAATTTTAGCACTTCACAATATCGGTGTTTATTAATATTTGTCTTATAATCCATGTTGTATATCACACAGCTCCGAACGCTTACACAGTGGTCATCCAAAATGTCCAGTATCGGTACATTTCCAAGCGTTACTCTGTACGACAGATTAACGCAAACACAATCAATGATGTTTCGGAACGTACAACTAATAAAATTGTTCGTAGTTTGTTGGCAATTGTAAGTGTCAGCATGTCGTCTACGTAAAACAACGATGGTTGAATGCAAAACAGTAATTTTAAGTTCAAAGTTCAAACTGATTAGCGTTTGATGTCTGAATGGAAACTGCCAAAATACTGTTGTGTCTCTATGTGCACTGAACTTTGGTCCGGCGAAAGAGAAGGTCGATGCTGTTGCGAAACTGCACCGTTGCACGAAAAAAAAGATACAAATTTCATAAACATACGTACGCACACACTCATAACACAAGTACTATATGTGCCAACTGCCTTTTTGCAAGCAACTGTTCTTATCATTGCATAATATTCTGTTTTCCAAACAACAGATAACCCAAACCTTTAATTACCAGCCAATAGCCATGTCAAGTTTAACATATTCAGTCAAAGACAACAATGATTAAGCGTTGGATTTAAGTCGATATTTTCTATTTTCGGTGAGTGCCACTTCACTTTGTGCCGGTTATAGTAAGCCTGCACATGTAAACATTCATACAAGATTTATTGAAATTTAAGTGCTCATTTGAACATGTATAGTTAAAAGCATTTCGCATATATTGGGATGCATATGATGCCGCTAAATAGGAAATCTGAATGGTGATGAAAACAACTAAAAATAACTTATTTTCCACAGGTCTGTTTAATTTGGAATAACGGATGTTTTTCGGATTTTCCATGAATCACATCACAATCTTACGGTGTGCTTTTGTTGTCTATCACACCGTGAGCGCCTGTTGCCGGGATATTTACCTGCATTTTTTAATTATGCAGCTTTGTTAAGAGCGGCGTCAATTTGATCTGCTTTGAGTGGAAATGTTTGTGTGGTTGTCAATTTTACCGTGACCTGTGCGCCTAAGATACAGACGGTGCGGAATAAACCCGATGGTAAGATGAAAGTTTTTACTACTCGTAATTATTGCAGCGAACTTTGTCTGGGCGCCAACCGGTGTCTATTAATTAGGCGATCAGGATTTTTGCATTACAGTATTAAGCGTGCACCGTCCATGCCAAATGATTGCAAATCGCGGATGCAGTGCTTCGTGAAGCGGCGTGGTTTGGAGCCTAGCACAATTTACGAATTCATTCTTTTTGCGGCACGATTACTCATAATTGCTGATCGAGCTATTCTTGCCGGTGGGGGTAATTCGTTGAGAAAATTAGTAAGGTCTTGTAACTCTTGTCCATGTGCGGGGTTAAGTATTAGCAGCTATTAATGCAACTGATACCATCGCAATTTGATTAATTTTTGCAACTTAGTACAATGGAGGCACCGTCGGCGTCGATATTGTCTACTTATTTATTAACCGCTGCGCCACGGGTTTTCTGGCATATACCATATTTTATTGCGTGCCAGAAGGATTACATACCAAGTTTTATCCCTTGCCATGCCAGTGGCAACGCCATAGGCACTTGCCAGTGCCAGGTTTTACACCCTGCCCACAAGTGGAAATTCAACGGATATCCAGCGGTCCAGGCTAATCAGCATCGCTGTTAGATTGATGAGCGGTAGGAAGGTCGTTTTAATGGCCACACCTAGCCGTGTGATAGCGGTGTAGCGCATGCTGTTGTCGATGGTCCGGTTCAAGGTTCCAAAAAAGCTGCCAACGCTGCAGATCAGTTCCGCAGCGGATAAAGAGACATGAAGGAAGAGAAAGGGTTCTTTGTGTTTCCAGCGGTAGAACACGATTAAATTTAGGGTGATCGTAATGGTCGTAAGAAAATTGAAGGTCAGGTACTGAGCCATTAGAGTACGGAAGCCGGGCGAAGTGGCCCAGGTTAGACACACACTTGTGTTAGCGAAGTTAGTTGAATTATACATGATTCCACTAGATAATAACGTGTCGTCCAAGTTTCGTGTCAACAGCGAAAACGCTTTGCGATATAACTGAGATTTATGTTGTTTCGAGTGTTTTTTCGTGACACCAAATGCCGCTCAAGTGGTATCAATCTAGAGCGTTTTTATAGTAAAAGGAAAGCAATTTTGTAGTAAATACAGAAGGAATCGTTCGTGTTTTTTTATGCAAACACCCGAATGCGCGGAAACGCGAGCATTGACGGTGAATGTTTTTGATGCGTCAGCGGATTTTCGAGTGGAAGTGCGATACGATCCGTACCTCTGCTTTCCGGTAACTATTTCAGTTACTCTTAATTTCCAGCGTGCTTCATTCATCCAGTTGCGGATTCTGTTTCATTTAGACCAGTATCCGAAGTTAACGGTATGCTTAACTAGTCAAGCAGCAGCAATGGCCTTTTCATATCCGTAGTTTCTTAGTATCTGTTTAACAGAAAGTCATGTGCTGTGTGCTCCCAACGAGTGACCTTTTATGGGCAGCTTATTTCGTTGTCCTGATTCAACGAAGGCATGCATATACAAATACAGTTTGCACATGTACTGTGTTTGTATTCCTAGAATCATAACAGCCAGGCTGGCCAAGAAGAAACTAGAAGGAAACCTAAGAAAACGAACGAAGAAGCCTTAAAAAACTGAGGAAGAAAACAGATACGCTCGTGAGCATACAATCTAGAGATTTAAAAACATCAGGAAACCCAGAAACAAAAAACAAGACACTCAGAGAGCAAAGAAACTTCATACCTGGTAGCCAGACGGATAAGCATGCTGTCAGTCAACATAAAAGTTTCTGCGAAAAGTCGGGCAGCAAAGTTGTAGATTAGTTAATAGTTTGTACGCTAGCAGGTTGTGTTAATCAGCAATATGTCGGTCAGCAAACAATCGGGATCGGCCAAACGGGGGTCGGGAAACTGACGTGCTACCGGCTGGATAGCGCTTGAGTGCGTTCCAATGGTTAAAACCAGAGGTTGCCCATCTCCATTTTTTTAGGGATTGGATCCCATTTTTTCCCCATTTACCATTTTTCCATACTAAAATGGTATGAATGGGAAAACTGTATTTATGGATGGAGATGGATGGGAAAAACCAAGAAATGGGCGGAAATGGGAAGTTCACAAAATAGGATAAAAATGACGAGTTAATACATTTCTACAACTATTTTGGTTGGCAAATTCACAAAACCCCCGACACCTTCGCGCTTCGCGCGAAATTATAATAATTTTTACATGGTAGGATCAAGAAAATTTGGGAAAACAGCGCTGAGTTCACGCTTCGCCTGATTGCCAACAAGGTGTTCCGTAACCCGGCGTCAAGGAAGTTTTTGGTTGTACGTTTTAATTTTGTTTTTAAAAAATGGGACGCTGAAATGGGGATGAAAAAAAAATGGGTCTAATCCAAAAATTATGGAACGGAGATGGGTGGGAAAAACTGTAAAAAAATGGGGTATGGATGGGATATGGAAAAAGCAAAAATGGGCAACCTCTGGTTAAAACCAGGAGAAGAGATACTGACAGATATATCCCAAGACGCAAAAGAGCACATTTCCACATGAAACACTTGAGAAAGCCGCAACGTGATCCAAATAGACTGTTGCCAGAAAACTGATAAAGGCAGTTGTGGCCACTTTTTTAATCGGAACGGTGTGGTGGCTAATGGCGCCTTTCCTCATGAAGGCTGTGGTAAAGGTCAAATTTCCTTATGCTGCTGCAAAAAAATGTCGTTGACGTTGAGCACAGAAACGACTGTGGCAATAATTCTTTAATGCATTGCATAAAAGCAGTTTGAATGTACTTTATACATGCTTCGCTTTGTCGCTTATTCCGCAAAACCTGCGCTTCTGTGTTCGAAGTTCGAACTCAGTGTTGGCGACTTCTGTGCACCGGATATGCGTCTGTTGCACGCTGTTCCTTAATTTAATTAATGAATTGCGGACCAGTTGGCCGCCTTGTAATTTTCGTCTTACATTGCATCGTAGTCATACTAATTTGAGCAAAAAGACAAGAAGCTAGAGAAGCGTTAGGCAACAAGCTGACTACCAATCGAAACATGGCCGAGGTCACATAATGCGCTGCTCCCATGATGTGCCACAATATTCTGTATTTGCTCGCGATTATTTCCCAGATCAGTTTGGAACGTACGGCGACTTAGTTGGCACAAAAATTTTGCAACGAATGAAAAAGGTAGAGCCTGAATTATCAATAAAGTAAACTGTACACGTGAGCATATCTGTACTGCGCACTGCACACTGCGGCATCGGTGCATGATTCCGGATTACCCATGCATCCGACCAATAATTAAGCTATTTGAATGCACCGTTTCACTTTCATGAAGCAGGGCCCATCATCAAAAGTGGCTTGCCAAGATGGATACGACGGGATTCCGCTTTGCGTTTGAACAGACTGCTTTTTATCTGAAAGCAGAAGCCCCAGCAACTTAAACTTAATCGTTGTTCGGACGTGCAATTAGACCTAGTACAGATACTGAAGGAATCATGACTAACCATTTTTGTATACATACTGCGCCCAACTCATCCATCATGCAAATCGTTTTCCCTTGATTTTGGTTCGTCGCATTGTGCCAGATTATAAAGCAAAACGTCAACGGTCTAAATTTTTTAAGGAAGGAAAGTCGGTGCTATGCGGGCAAACACCTCTATACCGCTGTTTTCAGCTAACCTAACACGTGCCTCCAACATCACGACCAACACAACCATATGCCTATCCTGGGGAGTATCCCGAGACTACCGTATCCTAACGGTCCACGTGTTAGCGCTAAACATCCTGACCATGATCGCCAGCTGCATCAATCTGAGTGTGTTCGCCCGGTGGAAGCGGAAAGAACCCTTCCTCCTCTTCCACATCTCCTTGTCCTTCGCTGAACTCTTATGCAGCACCACGAGTTTCGTCGGCTATGTCAACCGCGCCTTCGACTACACGCTACGCTACGCCCTGCTCAGCAAAATCGGTATCGGCTTCCGGACCACATTTCTGCCGTTGATCAATATCCTTGTGATGCTAATCAGTGTGGACCGATGGATTTCCGTGCAGTTCCCGCTGTTCTATCGGCGCAAGGTGAAACGCCGGGTCATTCTGCTGACCATTAATTTGGTGTGGACAGGAACTTGTGGATTTTACGTCATCTTCTTCGCCTTCATGGGTAGCTCGGTTTTGGTGGTTACGTGCCGGGAAGTGGGGCAGTTTGTACTGAAGGATCCCGCGTGGATTATCTTCTACAATATCCAGTTCTTCTCGACCTTGGTACTGATCGCGTTGCCGCAGTGCCATACGTGCGCAATTGCACTGCAGGTAAAAATCAGAGACGAAGAATTCAAACAGATTTCAGCCGTTCTTGAAAATATTACTGAAATCGTTTGAAATTCGAATCCACATACAACGATTACTAGTAATTGAACTGGTCCAAAGTTTTTGTGTTTTGCTATATGTCAGAGAAATTAACTGAATTGTCAGCAAGTAAAACAAGTAATGTATTCCGGTGATTTGTACTTTATTCAACTTCTTTTAATTAAACATAAATTGTTTTTCCAGTTTTCCCACTTAAGGAGATTTTAATTTAAAGCCGGTGTTAATCGAAAATGTTTTCGCCCTCGAAAGCGTTTTATGCTTATACAGATTATTATGTGTTATTAGCGACACAGAAAACTATTACACAATATATGGAAAATAAAATTCCGCTTTAGGTGAAATGCCGGGCGCACCACCGTCGTCAAAACACCCGGGACAACGACAGCCGGCTGGTACGCAGCGCCATTCGCAGCGCAATGGCCGGCTCCGCCGTGGTCATCACCAACGTGGTGTGCCAGTCCACCGCGAGATTGATCTACTTCTTCGGAATGCGCAGCGGAGTGTTGACTGTCGGGATGGCAATCGCGTTCACGTCGTTCGATTGTCTCAAGTATCTGATGCCCTTCGTGTGCTACGTGGCTTTCTTCCCGAAGTTTCGCAACAATCTGCTGGAGCTGATATATGGCCGTCGCCAAAGGATTGTGAAGAACATTGTCTTGTTAGCTCGTCCACCGAACTATCCGCCAAATAACTGAAAGTCAGCAAACTTTCGGCAACTTTCCGAAATGCGGTACTTCCGTTCGTGCTATGTGCGATAGCTGTTTGGCTGGAATGAAGCGCACTTTAGATAAACTAACGTGCGTTCGTCTCCAGGATCCTGTTTGAACCTTTTTGGGCCAGTTTTAACTCTTGAAATTGTTGGGTCTTATGAAAATAATTTAAATTGCTTCTGGGAGGTGGTTCGAGAGTTCTGAAGTGCAGCACAATACTTCGACGTTTTTCGCATTTCCGACGTTTTCACAACATGTATTCGCTTACCTGACTCTGCTTATGTTTAACAAGAAAAATGACGACGTCATTTTTCTTGTTATACATAAGCAGAGACGTTTGCATAGCTTTCATTTATCGTGCTAGTTGCACAGCTAATGCGCGAAAGCCGCACATTTAATAACATCACCATCTTCGATTGCGTGAAAAGGTGACGTTACGGGCCGCAAAGACAACATCGGCCGTAGCCTGTAGGTAAATCTTTTACACGTGCAAATTTGCCGTGAACAATCGGATGACGTTAAAGGAAGTAACTTCTAAAATTAGTATGGCTTGTTTATGTGGATTGTATCGCTTGTATCTGGTTTGCTGTGAAGTCTTTGTATCGTGCTGACAGTTAAATATCGCAAAACGGATGCATGTGATGCTACAAGGAATGCGAAACAATCATGTTGAAGGAGTTATGATCACAGCCATGTGAAGGTGATCACAGCAGCTGCAGCTGCAGGAAGAAACAGCTGCATTCTCCTTCTCCGGAGTAATGACCTAATTAATGCAATTTTCAGAGAGTGCATGCCTCTTAACTGCATCAACCTAGAGAAAACAAATTCCCACTGTTATACTTATTCGCACGTGGATGCCAATTGTGTAGTAATTACGTCACCCACGGTCGCGAGTTTCGGCTAACTGGACACAGGAACATAAAAGCAAATAATAGATATTCCATGCAAGTCTTTAGTATACTTTAATAAAGACTGTGGCATTGAATTTCCGGACAAAGCAGCACGGCACACTTTGGGCCACATATTGTATTAAATAACATTATACTGCATGCTCCCGTGGGATTTTCTTAAACAGGGCAAGGTCGTCGAACATACTGTACAATATGCGCGTGATTATCCACACAATTTCCATTTTATGTATTCCGGTTTAAAGCGGTTATGCAGGCAGTTAACTCACGTGAGATTATAAAAGAGATGTTTCCAGTAATACGGCAGCGCAACGCAGAACGGCGGAAGGAATGCGAGAGAGACGGATATTAAGCGCCAGCGCATATATTTCCATTCTGCAAAGCGCATATATTTCCACTTCCATATTTCCATTCTACAACACGATTCGTCGGATGCTGAAATGCTTATCGCAGTGCAGAATAACAGAGCAAACGAGTCCACGTTATGGGAGACGCTGCACTGTTCTTCGACCATCGCTTGGACAATCTGGTCCATTTTATTTTGGATCTTCACATCCGTTGCAAACCTTGTTGATGTAGTTAACGTGATTTTCCATCAGAGGCAAAACACACCGGGGATCGTAGTCATCGGCGGTCTGAAAGTGGCTGATTTTATTGTAGCGTTCGTAACTGTCCCTGGTTTGTGGAGCTACACAATCGGCTACAATATTTGGCTTTTCGGTGATGTTACGTGCCTAATATGGCAGTATTTCGACTGGGTCACCACGCCGATAACCGCGTTCTACGTCGCCGTGCTCACTGTCCAGTCGTGCTGTTCGGAAAACTGGCAGATGAATAAATTAGCGGATATTAATCTGACCGTGTTCGGAATAATTTGGGGACATTTAATATTTCTCCCGGCATTCGTAGTGGACCAGGTGGTGCCATGGCTTAATGGACATCTTCACATTCAGTCGTGTACCATCAAAACGAACTACCAAGACGCGTATTGGTCGGTGTATCTGCTGTGTGGTGGGGTCGTGCCGGTTATCAGCATTCTTTTATGTTTACTGTTAAAATTTAGAAAGTTTCACTCCGACCGATTAAAGCGCTACGCAGCGGCCAACGCTTCAAGTGTGACGAATTTGGTCAATTTGGAAATGTCCACTTCCGATGCCGGCGGCAGTGTGACACCCGTTAGCCGTGTTAGCGAGTCATGCGTCATTGGATGTAAGCCATTGCGGATGGATAAAAACGTGGTGATGTGGTTGGGTATCACGTACTGTTGCCTGTGGACGCCGTTTTATGCGTACAAAGCCATGGAAATTTATTACAGTGCGCATGTGTACTGGGTCGATATCAGCAGCTATTGGATCAATTACTTGACGGTTGCCGTATTTCCCTTTCTAATTAAACGCTTGTAAATGCTACTTATTTGTTGGAAATGCGGCATATACTTTTGATTTGCTAGCGCTTTCATTTGCGGAATACACCTTAATCTGTAGGTTTCTTGTGTTTCCGCTAGTATGCGCCATCAATTCATTTTGGTGATGATAAAATGCACATAAACGGGAAACGAGAAGTAGAAGTTAAAATAAAATGGCGAAAACTTTACAGTACGACATGGTGAACATGAAAGCAAACAAAAGACACTGATGCCAGATAACGCTGTCTCTGTCTATGACCTCGTGCAAGACATCCCTGATTGTCGTAGACATTAAGCTGATTAAACAAACAAAAAGACAAACAAACAAAAATTATGTTTTCAGTCAAACCGGCAGCGAGCGATCCGAAGAATGTGTCCCTCTAGGAAATTTAACGAATTGGCTGTCTTAATTCAAAAACGTGAGAGGTGTGTAATTTCAACATGTGATAGTTCATCATTATGGCCGCGCAGATTAATAAAAAATAATTATTAAGTTTGAAAGGTGCAGCGAAATTGTGTCTATTTTAATCATGACATTAGTAAGCCCTACCAAAATATTAAAAGCGAGAGTTTGGTAGTGATATTTTGAAGTACGGACACTATGGACTTTGTCGTTGTGTTTTCATAACGTACGACAAAAAGCTAAAGTTTACGGCTTTTGCGGGTCTCTTGGAATATATCTGCAAGTGGCCACAAAAGGGCTTTTTTCGCGATTACTAGGTGATCTTTTTATTAAAGGCCTTCAAAAGCATGTAAAATCGCCAGTAATTTTGCTTTCCTCGATAAAATAGCTGACTGCTGCAATGCCATCTTACATAATATCTGCAACCATTATTTTGAGTTCACATTTCCAAAAAAATAGGTTCTTTCTGCTAGCTAGAAACTGTGGGGCTGACCTTTCAATGTCCTTCATTAAACAGAAGTATTAATCACTTCCGGAACTCTCCGACTGATCCCAACCCAAACCCAAAGTACTCATTAATTTAATAATTATCCGCAACAATATAATGTTAATAAGCAGCATTTCGCGATCCGAGACGCGAATTCATTAAAATATAAGATTAAGATTCTGCGGAATGTTTATGTTACTAAATATCTTTTGCTTGATAGACTGACACACCTCCATTTATATGTTGATAATTACTGCTTGGCTCTTATGATCTTTCCGTTTAAGCCAGACAAGCTATAAGCTATATAAGCGTACAGTTACGAAGTCAATGCAATAGGCCGTTCTATAATATGTTGCCGCAATCAGCATCATGCAGTCCAACTTCAATAATTCCAGCGTAGTCAGTAACAGCAGCTCATTTTTTCCACCGCGTTCCAACTGGACCGGCATTCTTACCGCCAAGATCGCCATCATTGTTACCGCTTTTTTCTTAACGCATGCGTCCTGAGTATCCACATCCTTCGACCATCGTTGATAAATCCCTTTACTATTTATCTCCTTTTTCTCTTCGTCGCAAACCTCGCTTACATCGCCGCCAACCGCCCATTAGGCGTCGTCAGCGAATTATACGGCGGAGCATGGTTCTGGTCGGCGTCCTTGTGTTTCTTCTACTTGTACTGCCAACGGATTATCAGCATAGTCCACATTATGTGCCACGTCCTCATCTCTATCAACCGTCTGTGGGCGGTGACCCATCCACTGTCCTACCGATCCAAGCACACAAAACGCGCAGCACTTATCATCTTCATAGCGATGATTGGCTACGTGCATATTACGTCCTTACCGCCTTTTATCGTGGAGGCGCTGATGACTCAGCGCGGACCGCCGGTAAGAGGATGCCAGCAAATATCCATGCCGGAGTGGAGCCGCGCGCAGACGATTATCCATCGGATCGTTCCGTTGGGAATTGTTGTGCTGATCTACGTCTATTTGATGACCAAACGCTGGCGGAAACGGGCGCTGCAGCGTGTCGGCGCTGTGGGTTCCGAGGCGACGCCAGGCAGTACAGCGATAACGGCTGCACATGACAAACGGAGCACCGGTGGTGGCGGACGACGAGTAGTGGTTACGAAAGAGACCGTACGGAAAAAAGTGAGATCGGTGAGACCGTTCATGATCTTGACGGTAACGACGGTCAGTGTTGTGGTGTGCTGGGTGCCGGCTGACGTGTTCTGGTGTGCGGTCGTGTTTCGAGGAGTTTGGTTTGCTGGTCCTGTATATAATGCTGTGGAAATGCTGTATTCGGCGCAGATGATCTTCGATCCGTTGATGTGGATTGTTAGTTTACGTAAAACAAAGGCCGCTTAATTATTTTGTGCATCCTGTATTTGCGTTAGTATTCTACAAATGCTCGTTTTATTGCATATCACAGTATATAAATTTAACATAACGTGTGCCGGTGTTCTGTAGCAAAATATGCACCGTAAAGCTTGAACTTCCCATGCCTGAATTTGTTTTCGCTGTACTCTGTATTTGCTGGCCAATATTGACAATGCTGGGCTCCTAAGAATTTACGCTCGTGCCTTTACCGTCATAATGTTGATTCAGCAGCTCTTTATATAAGGTCCACGGTACAGATATTATAGTTCCTTAGAACGGTTCGAAATTTTATCGCGCGCATCCAGCCAGGCCACTGGGGAATGTGAAAGCGCGGGAGCGGCTTGCGGCAATGCGCGAGAAACCGTACGACCGCAAGTGTTACAGCAAAAAAGCAGAATCACAAAAATATATTTCTCAAAATCTCAGCTTGAAACACGTTCACCTGCTAATACACAGTAAGACAAAATCGTCAGAGCAAA